TGGAAATGATGAGAGTTCATTTATTATGATTTGAATATTTATGGAAGATGAATATGGTTCATCAATTATGATTAATACTTTATATTAGGAAAGAATCAAAACTTATATGAAATCACATATTAATCAAATAAAATAGACGGTTGAAATTGGGTTGTATTGGTTGTACAAATGTCAAGGGTTGTATAATAACCAACCTCTATATATATATATATATATATATATATATATATATATAAAGGTTAAATCAAGAGAGGATCAAAAAAATTGAGGCATGTGAAGACCAATGTTAAAAATTAATTGAATTTAATCTACGATTGAGAAAGACAATGACATTTTTGTGATATTTTAAAATTTTGAAACTAATTATTAGATATGACAAGTTAAAAGGGCATTATAGGCATTTGACATCCAACTCATAGTCGATAATGACGGCTATCAAAGTTATATTAATTACTATAAAACTTTACATCAAAATATATTAATTACAAAAACAATTTTTAATCATAAAAATTATATAAAAAACGAACGTTTTATCTTTTTTAATTTGACAGGAGTATCATTATTATTAATTTTTACATTTTTCTAGTAATTACAATTTTTACATGAAACAATAAAAGTAATTTTATCTCATACGTTATTTTACCTTGTAAAACAATACTTTAATATTTCATATCATGTTTCACACCGTTTTTTTCTTTTCACATGATGAAACAACACTATATTATTTCATCATATGAAACATTGTATTGGTTCATAACATGAAACAACACTTTAGTGTTTCACATCAACTTTTGTGTTGTTTTCAAATTGTGAAACAACAATTCATTATTTAATATTAACGATATTTTATTGTTTCACAATATAAAAGAACATTTTAGTGTTTTACTTTCACATCATATTTTACATCAACTTTATTTTATTTTGACATTGTAAACAACACTAATTTTGTTTCATTTTAGAAAATTATTGTATTATTTCATTGCATTGAAATAAAATTTTGGTGTTTCCAGATGATCATTAATTAAAAGAAATTATGTTTATTATATTTAAATGACTGAGAATTAGAAAGATCATTATCAATTGGTCTTTACCAATAAATAATGTATATGTGAGAAAGTAACAAGTAAAAATTATATTAATAATATAAATGCGCCCTTCTTCATACAAACTGGTGTGACAGCTTGCTTCATGTATCGTTGGCTTCATTTTCTCTTCGATTTGTATTTTACTCAATCAACACTTAATACAAAATGTTTGGTAAACAAGAAAATCTAATCTGCACTTACTTCAGTCAGACCTCTTACCATAGTCAGCACTTAACCAAAAAAATTGATAAACGACCCCTTAGTTATAGATGGAACATTAATTAATGTTGTAAAATTAGAGTGATTAGATGGTTGAGATTAGATCATTTAAAAATACGTTTCCAAAATAAAAAATTGAAACAAGTGACATTA